GTATATTGTGTATTCCAATACTTTACACGTTGAAAAGATATAACAAATAAATTAAAACGATGAAACTACTCTTCTCTACATTTCAACAAAGATTTTACATTTTACTTTTTTATTACTATCATTACTTTTTTACTATTATTACTTTTTTATTCACGATTATTTAAATCATGTAATTTTTATTGGACTATTATTTTCCGAAAACGCGATTCTATCTTGCAGTTTAATTAATGATGAGCTTTTTATCCTTTCCTTATTGAACCATCTATTCATTCTATCTTGATCGAAACGGACGTGGAGAACGTTGGAAGACGACACGTTAGAGAAACGTGTGAGCTTGTGGCAGCGTGGACCTGATACAATTATCCATTATCGCGATCCTCTAGGACAGGAACGATTAATCCACCGTGCGGCAATAACTTTTAGGGATTTGATTAATCAGTGCGAACACATCCCAGCCAGTCCTGATTTCCAGTACATTAACAAGAACTTATCAGCCAATTTAATTGAGCCATTCGAATAAGTTAAATATCTACTATCTATTTCAATATTCTTACTTTTTTACTCATTATTCATAACTATATTTCAATCAATAATTCTAAAATCGTAAATATAGAAAACGTGTGGATTTGCTTTTACGAACTTCCATTTTGCCAGTGAAATAAAATTATATTTCCTTGATGTCAATTCCAATCTAATGAAAACTTAGAGAGCTATTAAATTAATTTTATTAATTTTATCTTATTAATTCGAAACAGAACATAATGAATATTATCTCTTTTTTTCCTAATTCCGTCATTTCAAATCGCAGATAAAGTTATGTGCCGATACGCGAATAAAGTGTTCCCTAAATTGTTTCCTAAAATTCCTGATTCTCGAATATGAATAGTATAATCTGAAAAGCGAGGAAGGTTTTCTCGGCGAGCGTTACATGTATAAAGATCGAACTATTTGTGAGATATGAACTGTTTCGAAGTTGTTACGCGAACGTCGCCTTTTATCCCTTTATCCTATAGCAGGTTCAGAAAACGTATTTAGGTACTTGGACTCTCCATGGGGACGAGTGCCGGACGCGGACTTTCTCAGACCAGCCACCAACTACCAATCATCACCATCACCAACCACATCCACATCTCCACAACCGCACATAAAAATAAAAAAAAAAACAGCCTTATCCCTGATCGCTTCACCAGCACGGTGAGTCTTACTTCTTTCTTCTTTCTATATAATATCCTATTTTAATCCTCTATTGCGCGATTTATTACTCTCAAAAGTACTTGGTTGCCTAAGGATCGAAATTCGTTTTCCAATTATAGTCTAATTTCATATCTTGCTTTTTATAAGGTCTTCCGAAAAAGATTTACGTGTTTCGATTTTTTCTTATGTATATAATTTCTTTTTTTAAATAAGCTTTTAATATCATGCGTCATTAATAAATTATTAATGTTAAGCTAAAGAAATTCTAGTAACTTGAATTATTAAAATTTAATAATTGATTATTAAAATTTTTAATGAGTTTTTACTTCGCAAAAAGTTCAAGAGTTAATTAGAAAGTCAGTTAATAACAAAAATGTAATTGATTCTTCTACGAGAAAGAGAAAGAGAGAGAGAGAGAGAAAAGAGAAAATTGGATTTATAATTACACTACTTTCTAGGAACATTTCGTATTTTTGTGCAGTTTTTATATTTTCATATTTTTCATATTATATTATATGAATGATTAATGATTTACAATCTTGATAAGTAATATATCATATCAAGATACTTAACATGAATTTAATTAAGAATCGTACGGTTGTTGCCATCACTTAGTTATTAAGAGAAGTGCCATATAATTCGGAATTCACTTTAAGGCTTTCGAGAAATACACGTATTCCCTTGGGTTTCACGTACTTTGACGAGAGATATCTTCTATTTTCTCATTTCTGTACCAACTGCTTTTGTCTATGCACATATTTCCTTCGCTTACGTTCTTAATGTAAAAAATTTTCATATTTATTAATTTGTTATCAAGACCAATATTATTCTACAATTATTATCGTCAGATAGTAAACAATTATATGATTAATCTATCAAAATAATGTCACATGCTATAATAAATAATATCATACGCTAAATATTAACAATAATATTAACAATGTCAGAATATCTTCGTACTTTTCATTTTTATTTTATAGATGTAAAGTATAGTAATGGAGTATGATTCAATATATCATCAATAAAAGAAATTATAAATATTTATTAAATGTTAATATATATATATGTCGCTATATTATTTTTTACATTGTATGAAATATTATGTTTCCGAACGGAAACAATACAATATATTTTTTCGTATTTTATACTATTTTATCTGCAATTTTAAAAGAGAAATTTACATAATACAAAAAAAAATTTCACGGTTCTCCTTTTTTATATTATACATTTACTTTACTTTTTATTATGCAAACTGTACAAAAAAACAGCGACATTATGTTAAAGATAAATTAAGTTAAAAATTCCTAATAAGGCTCTTCCAAGATAAACTCACTATAATTATGATGATGTGATGAGGTAATGTCAATGTGAGCCGACACTAGTTGTTCGTGTGTAATAAATTGTATATTATAATTGAATACAGACGTTTCAACCCTGTTGATGTTAAAATGTCACTGAAACGATATATTAAATTAATGTAGTCATTAAATTTCTAAAGTCGATTCCACTAAAAACTTACTTATTCGTTTAACGATGGTCTGTTACATTGCGATGTAAGTATATAGAGAAGTCATTATTGTGTGAGAGTTCAGATCATACTAATCATGACAATATGATGCCATTAGCAATAACAATATAAATATAAATTTAAATATAAATATAATAATAAGAATATATACATACATATAAACACATTTTTTGAAAATTATAAAATTAGTATTAAAAACGTGGAAGCATCAATCTTCCGTGATTAAATCGTAATATACGGGGTTTAATAAATCCGAATCATTTTGTAAATTTAACCTATCTTTTTTGTTTTTTGATAAATATTGACTCCGCAATTAATCTTTTATTGTAATTTCTTTCCTCATCCAAAATCACGACATTGCTTCAATCTAATTCATGGTCAATCCAATATGTTCTGTGATACCAGACTGCAATTTGGTATTTCTATTTATGTGGTTACGGTGTTCACTTATTCTCGTTTTTAACAATCGTTTAATATTTAACGATGATTTGAAGATTCAACGTTCACACATATTTATATTATATTCCTATCAATCACATTACACACTGAAGAGGACCCAATATCAGGGTTGAAACGTCTGTATTCAATCATAATATACAATTTATTACACACGAACAACTAGTGTCGGCTCACATTGGCATTACCTCATCACATCATCATAATTACATTATGTTAAAGATTCTATTGTAAAAAGAAACTTTAATGTAGATATAATATATTATATACATATATAATAACACAATGACACGTAATGTCAATTTGTTATCATTGTCTTTCATTTTATTTTGTAGAAATTAGTGTGTGTTATGTAAAGTAATTTCTTTCGTTATGAAGCTGTACATAATGCATGAATGAAGATTAAACTAATGTACTTTATTTTTATATAACAAATCTTGTAACTGATAAACTCCACAGACTTGTCATGTCGCTATACGAGTCATGAAGTTTAAATATAATACATATGTGAAGTATGAATGTAATACACAATGCAAGTGCAATAAAATAGCATTTATATATACATTTTATTTGTTATTATCTTTTAAGTTCTGCGTTTCGATAAATGTTATTTGTTTTTGTAAAATTTATAAATGGAATACAGCATGGCATACATATGCTTTTGCATGCTTCGCAAGATTTTTAGAGTAATATTACGGGCTTTATCATTTTGTGCATGATTTGTATATATACAGGGTGTTTCATTTTAAGTGATATGGTCGATTATCTCGCGAATCGATGATTTTATTGTAAAATTTTTCGAACGATAGTTGCATAGCTTAAAATGAAACACCCTGTATATATATATATATATATTTCGAAGATTATTTTTTGTAATTTCTCTTACAATTAATATAAATATACTAATATTATTTTTTAGTTATATACTTTTTAATATATATTTTTAAGAATTGCGGGCATACCTATAATTTTAGGCCTGGGTGAATTGATGGTCTGAATTGATTATTTCGAATATTTCGTGTTTATCAATGAACTTATCTAATATACTTAATTAATCAATTATTCAAAAAAACCTGAAGATTGTAATTGATAAATTCATATTAAATGTTAAACATGTATAATACATACATAGAAAGTATTATTCGTAAAATAATTCTATGTAAAATTTACACATAGCTATCCAATCAATTTTTATAAGACATGGTTTTCTTCAATAACATTTCATATTTAGAATTTATATTAAAATAATAGATATTGAATTTATAGTTTAATATCTATTATTTATAAGTTCAGTATTCAAAACTAGTTACAAAGATTTGCAATAAAATATAAATATTAGTTTTACAGATTTTAATGTCGAGAATTTTAATGTTCGCCAAAAAGCCTAAATTATATATTAATAAAATAATTATGACAGTTGTGTTTACTTTAACATATTTTATTACATAAACATTTATTTTTTAAATAATACATTCACGTTGAATATTACAAATACACCTAACTATATATTTTGTGATTAATTGTCCAAACGATTGAATGGCATTACAGGCAAATTTATTTAAATAATATTTACTATTTTATTATTATACCTAATTATCATTATTTCTATTAACCTATTTTTTACAAGATTCAAAGTTATCTAAATTTAATCAACTTGAATTACTTTTTTTGCAATGCCATTCGTTACATCGACATGTCAATCAGCTGTAACAATACGTCACACTGCAGTAATAGCAACAGCGACATCAACAACATATTACAAGTTCACATTACAACTTCAATTAAACGAAAATGAAGAACAAAAGTGTATCTAATTTTTCAGTGTGCAAACCGGGTTGGAATCACAACAATGGCAACTGCTTGCAACAGTGTCCACCTGGAACTTACGAAGTCCAAGGTGACGATGATTCCGGTGCTTTCTGCACTGCATGCCATTACTCGTGCCTATCTTGCAAAGGACCTAGTGACGCTGACTGCATCACCTGTCACGCGGATTCGATATTTACGCGGAACAACGGAAGGTCACTGTGCGTGCTGAGTAGCATTTCTTGGAAAATGGAGTCCACAGTATGGTTCCACAGATTAACTGTGGCATTTTTGATCAATTTATGCCTAATGATTGCTATTATTATTTACTTTGTGTTCACCTGGTACATCCGTAAACGAAAATCCGTCCATAAATACAGCAAAGTATCTTATTCTGGTAACGGTGAAATTCATGCGGATCCAGAATTGGACAACGCTTATGTCTATGAAAGCGAATGAGTCTATCAATGACGATGGAGAATATTCTTGAAAGAAAACGATGTTTTTCGGAGCATTTTGAAAATTGTATTCCACAGCTTTCAAAAATGTTAGGAGACGATACCTTATATTATATTAAAATATTGAATATAATATTTTGGAGATATTTTTGGAAATATTTTTATAAAAAATATATATTTTTATTTTGATAGAAAATATTTCTAAAATAATTTCATTGCAAAGAGAGAAAATAGTTCGAGAATATTCTAGTAATATTTTGAATAATCATATCGTGAGAATATTTTTTATTAAACGATTTTTGTTAGTTTTTTTAACTAAAAACTAAATAAATATTTAAAAGTAATTTAATAGTGAATACAAATGTATACATTTTGAGAATATTCTCTGAAAATATAGAAATGTTCAGAAAATATCCTGAGGTTGTTTAAAAAAGCATCTAGTAATTTAATAAAACGCAAGAAGTGATGTAAGAATTTCGATACATGTGCAGGTATGATAAGATTATTTTTATGAAATATTGCATGTAATATTATATGTATTATATATTATACATTATACATTATATATTAAATATTTTATACTTTATATTATATATTATAATAGAATATATTGTATAATAAATACATATATGGCAGTATATATATATATACTTATATCATATTTTATAGTATATAAATTTAGTATTGTTACATGCATAATAAATATAATTAACTTAATGCTTTACAAACGAACTAGAAATACAGGAATGATAAAAATATTTAGTGAAAATTTTCGAGAAAAAATTGTAAATACTTTTATTCCAATAAATATTCTATTTTATTTGCTGTATACAAATTCAGTACCTTCCATCAAGTTTAGAAGCGATACTGCACTTTTGCAAGTATAGGAATGTCCCTTTGTAGATGCGGTTTGCGAGATGTCTGTAAAGCGTTAACGATGCCGATAGTTTCCTTTGAGATGAAGCAATCGCTTCATTGCGACGTCAGTATTGTAGCAATAGTCCGTGACGATGGACCGTTTATCGATCGTCGGTGAATTAATGTCTTCTGATGCCAAGAAGTGATTTTATGCGATCCAATGAGTCTTATATCTGTGCGGTCATCCGGATATCTATTGTGCGATTAAGAATGAGAGTGACGAGCGTTAGTTTGTGGTCAGACTAACACAATCACGAATACCTAACTTTATAGACATTCGCAACCAATCGCGAAGATATTACCACTATCTTACCTAATAGATTTAAATTAGTTTAATATGTAACGTGTGATTTAGATTAATGTGAAAAAGACTTTGTGAGATAAATTGAAGGCATAAATATTAAAAAATAAATTAAAGAAGAACATACCATACAACATTCCTAGATATTTACAGAAAGCGATATTCCATTTGTTATTTATCGGTTTGTATGTAGTTAAATTTCTACATTAATAAGCAATGCAACATAATCGAAATTATCACGTCGTATTATGTATGTAATGTCCATATCCGTCGTACATTAATTCGAAATGGTGAGAGACCGACTAGATTTATTGCAATTAAAAACCGACAATAACATAATTTCAGTATTTAAACGAAACTAACGGTAAAACATATTTTTGTAAGAGCAGTTTACCTCAGTAATGTGATACAGTTGTTAATGTAAATTATAGATCATAAATCTCATCGCTACTGCAATTAACTGTAATTGTTACCAGTAATTACTGAATCACAATGTTCTTATTAACGTTGTAAACTGAATAAAATAACGAAAATAGTAATGAAAACATTAATATGATTTTCATTATTTATCCTTCAAATTATTAAAATCCTCGTAAAAATATATATATTTCATAACACTTCGCTTTAAAAAAAAATCGCAAAAGCTTATAAAGTAATTTTTGTTTTATTCATCTCTCCAACAATTATTAAAATCTTTGTTACAAAACATACACTTTATAACACTTTACTTTATATTGTAAAAAAATCACAAAAACTTATACTTTTTTACATTTATTTTCATTTTTATATTTAAAAAAAATGTACTTTTTTCAGTCCTGATATGTATGTGATATAACATCTCCGATTTTTATATTGATATATTTGTTTTTATTTTAATTTACAGTTTAACACTGGACTGTCATCGACCACCAACGACCAATAATCAATGCCGAAATGTAGAAATTATAGGTGATGGGATCTAATAAATGTAATCGCAGTAATAAGCACGGAGATATATGTATAAAAATAAACAATTATCAAACAGATTAAATTATTTAATTTCTTCTGGAATTTAATTATAACCATACTAAAATGCAGGATTGGATAAGTTAATGTTTTTTTTCTAAATCAAATTAAAGTTAATACTCCATAAAATTAATAAAATCGAATTAAAAGTTCGAAGGAACAAAGAATTAATTTAATAAAAGTTAAGTTGAGATTGAATTAACTTGAGTTAAAGAAAAAGTTAATTTTGAAAAAAATTATTTTGAGATTTGAATATCCTAATTTTTCTTAAAATGAAATTATTTTAAATAACAATTACAATATAGATTATTAGGTAAGTTTAATTTTTTTATTTACATATAAATTATTTATAATAAAAGTCACGCCATAAGGCGTATTTGTTATAATCCTGCGAGAGATATATATAATTTGCATTATCTATTTTTCTTCAACCTAACCTCTTCTAAAACGCTCACATTACTCACATATATTTACGACTATATCGAATAAATATTTGTTACAAAAAATATACGTAAAAATTTAGAAAATGGGATGTGAAGCACTGTTTTACAATAATTCTTCATCTAAGGATCAATTCACATTTATGTTGCTGAAATATTGTATAATATTTATAGCACCTAAAATTAGTGTGATTCAAATGTAAGCGGAAATTGACAAAACCTAATGAGCCAATCAAAACTGGCTACCGTATAGCGTGACTCTTATTATAGGATCTCTAATTACAAAATCATTGAGCTTTTTCTAAATTAATTCTCTGATGTTTAACATCTTATAGAAAAAAATATTGACATTAAAAGAGATAAAAAAATTTTAATTAAGAAATATTAATGAATTAAAGTTTAAAAGTAACTAAATTAAGTTAAAAATTAATGCATTTATAATTAACTAAAAGGTTAAGTTAAAAGTTATTAATTTTTTAACTTTCTTTTTTAACTTTTAACGTTTTAACTAGTTACTACCCAACCCTACTAAAATGATGAATTTACACTACGTGCATTGCGGAACACAAAATTATCATTGCGGGCTGTGTTGCGTAAGTAATTAATCTGCAGTGCCGTCAAAAATCGCTGCTAACGAGCGGATTCTCGTCGTAATCAATTGGTTGCTTATCTTAATCAGTGAATTCATCTGACACAATCGACAGTGGGGCTTACCACGTTACACAGACAAAACAACTTGCTAATTGTTGCCAATTAATATTCCCCAGTTTCGGCTTGTTGCTGAATTGTCAAATGGAGATTCATTTCCAAAGTAAGCATATGCATATATGTGCGTGTTTGCGGAAGAAATATTGTAATGTCGACATGGAATTAGGACCTAGACAAAGTAAAACCGTATCAGAAAGATTTATTTAATAATTTCTTATTATTTTCGCGCAGTGTTTATTTGATCACGCAAATACCATGGTGTGACGTAATCGAAATATGAAACTTTATATTATGTTTCATGAAAGTGTAGAGTCAAATATTGAATCGAGTGCATTGGTAATCGCTTCATAAAAATCAATTGAAAACACAGTGATGATGTATTTTCTGAAAAAAGAATATTTGTATTTACTGCCTGCGAAAAGCTGCCCACATCAATATTCAATAGTACAACATATCGGGTTTCGTTATTGTAGGTTTGTTATTGTAGCATGTCAAACGTACGTGGTTTTAATACGAAGTATACAAATGAATATTACGGATAAAGGATTCGCGCATCGAGCATAAATTGCACGCCGTGTCGCTTCATAATGCTACACTTAGTTAAAGGTTCAATTGCACAGGTGAAATACGATACACATGTATGTTCGAAAAAAACTTCGATTCGACATCTGTATTTTCGAAAGCAAAATTCAGTTAAGAAATGTATTTTTGACATTTCTTTCCTTTCAACGAAACTTATCATATTTATGCTATGGTCAGTCATAGAAATTTAAATCTTGCTTTTAATTAATACTATTTATTTATAGATTACCTTAAGATTATGATAAGATGGAATGGCTTAAATTATGATAAATAAAAAAACGATTCTAAATCACATAATCAATTTATTATTAAACACTAATGCGTACAGTGAGTATATTGCAAATTGTATTATTTCCATTTCTAGAAAAATTGGTAGTAAAGAAACAGCGCGTTATGCTGACTTATGCTATTTCATGTTTTAGGCAATTTCTTTCGCGTGAAAATTACCGGGAAACTCGCATAAATTGTTAATTTACCACTATGACCGATAATTAAAACTCATTGAGCACGACAGTCGTAAAAACAGTATTAATGTTTTTCTCACGATTGTGTTATCCTCCATCGACTGACTCGTACTCGCTATAATTCATGAATCATAATTTTGCGTGTACTCAAACGACCATCTACGCCAACATCGCGACCGCTACTCTCGCGAATAATAAAATTTTTCACTACGCTACCTTTCCTCCGTAAAGCAAAGTACGCAAAGAGCAAACTGCTGTTGCGTCTAGACGAGTAGTACTATCTTCACCGGTAGGAGATGAGAGTATAAAACGACCGGATTTATATGACGGCGTCAAAATCCACGTTATCGTGGAGGCGCGAATATCCACAAAAAGCATCCGCAACATCTTTTTCCAACGAACTGTTTGCGTCACGAGTTTTTAACAAAACAAAAAAAAAACACGCGGTTACAGCGAAAAAAGTCTAAAATATTCAACACTTTTTAAATTGTTTATTCTTTTTCCATTTCTTCAATAACTTTTTCTTTTTTTGTTAATGCAATAATATAAAGAAGTTTTTGTGCTACAAGTTTAATTTGTAGTAAAAAACGATTTATTATAAAGCAACGGCTTTTTATTGAAACAAATATTTTGCACGATTATTTATTTAAATAAAAATCTAATTATGACAAATACTTTGTCCCAAAAGTGTACATTAGAAAACAAAGAAAAAAGTAAAAATTGAAGCAATAGATAATAAAAATTATAAATTATTTACTCATTAATATTTACAAATAATTTAAATTATATATATATATATATATATACAATAAGAATCTTATTTTAGACCGTAACATGTGAGAGCACAATCAATACTAGAAATTAAAGTGCCAATACCGGTCGAAGCTAGATTTTTAATGCTTAAATAGTTCAATGTAAATTATACAGGATGTAACTGAAATAATGCTCACTAAAGCATTAAAGATCTAGCTTCGACCGGTATAAGCATGCGTGTTTAGATTCAAATGTATATTGTATCTCGCTTCGTGCTTTGAATTTTTCTATGAGTTAAATGTAATTTATCTATTATTTTCGGATTAAGAGCATAGCGGAATATATGAATGATCAGTATTCCATTGGAAAGCCATAATACATTTACGTCGGTTATATTAATAATTAATTTGAAATATGGTATAAAGAAACACAATGTTTGGCGTGCATTTAAGAAAATACTAGACATTTTGGGACTGTAAGTATTTTGGGATTGTAAATCATCTGTCTCAAAATGTAAAACTTTGTTTTAAAAAATATTATATCTATAGATGATGTTTTTAATATAAAATTTGTATCAAATGATTATAAATACGATTCAAAGAACCTCCTTAAATCAAGCCAATATAAATTATTAAACGTGTTTCGATAAATATAATTTTGAATGTTTATTCTGATTAATTTTTGAGAGAGAGAAAAAGCAAGAGAGAGAGAGAGAGAGAGAGAGACATAAAGTCGTCACATGTAAATGGATACGCACAGGCAGATAGAATGCTTCCGAGTAATTGCAGCCGTCACATAACGGTGTGATGTAACTCACTTTTTTTTCTTCTATTCGTGAAAAGATCCCCCGCCGATAATTCCTTTTCGTTTCTTCTCTCGCGCCTCGACGTAAAATAAGAAGAAAATAATCGTTTCTCTTTCTATAAGAATACAGAGACGTTTGGCAGAAAACCAAATCTTTTCCTTCATCTATTTTAAAGAAATATCCGCTGGCATATTATATATATATATATATATATACACGGGGTGTTTCTTAAATAGCAAACACTAATCATGTAGCCCTATTCCATATATCTCAAATATTATATCTCAAATAATACGTTTCCTAAAAATATTTTTTATAATTACATTGAGCAAAATATACATGTAAGAACATAAAATTAAAAAAATATTTGTCGATTTAAATTGATCTAAAAATGAAGAGCTATTTCAACAGCAATAAGAAATAATCAGCTCTAATAATAGTTCTGCAACAATTTAACTTATTTAGTGGTTTCTGTTCAACTTTGTGGATCATAACTTATGGTAAAAAGAAACTTCTTTCTACACAAATATTTTTACTTGACGCATTAAATACATACACATTATTCGTTATAACATCCATCCAGAAAGGAACAACTACAACCGTCGATTGAACATTAATCATTGATAAGATTTCTTAAATGTCGCTGCCGGTAATAAATGCCGTTTGGTATATCTACTTTCCTTCCTTTCATACAGTCTGGTCCATAAAACTTGTCGGTTATGGTTAACAGCATCGTATTTCACTCTTGATACATGCAAACACAGACAGTTTTGTGCAAAGGACCACGCGATAAATTGCAGAATTATTTATAGCATGAAAACGGAAATTTGAACGCGAACGAATCTCCATTAAACCAACCTGGATTAAGATATTGTCAAGAATATTCATTATAATATAAAAAAAAAACATGGATATCAAGTGTGCAGTAAATATTCAAATCGATGAATATACGGATATTATTATGAACGCTATTTAATATAAATCAGTTTACTAGTTTACTTCAAGTTATGACAAGACTGATTAGTTTGTAATATCAGAGATGATATTAAAGTTTGCGGCTTGATACGATGAAGTTATTGTAAACGCTTAAAATATTCATTGGTGGATCTAGAAATTTGTCAAGGAGGGACGGTTGGCAAACAAAATTTTTTTAAGGCAAAATATGAAAAAAACAGAATATTAAATTATTATTTAAATTATTAAACGAAAAGTATTATTTAAATTTAAATCTA